ATTTTGTTATTTACAATGCTAATTGTGATTTCGACGAGAGTTTTTTTAAATTTAGAACATGATTGAACTTTTGTAAGAAGAATTTTACTAAATTCAATTTTTTAAATGTTTTTAACCACCATTTTTCTATAAATCCATTATTTTTATAATAATTAAATAAATATATATATTGATAAATTTAACTAATTTCACACGAAGAATTTGAATTATTAACATTTTCCAAAAATCTAATAAGTTTTTTAAAATTTCTAATTAACTTCATTATATACTACTGTTGGGTTTGTTTATACTGTTGAGCTTTGTAATTTCAAATAAATAAAGTAAAAATTAAAATTTTATAAAATTTTAAATTAAAGCCTTTTGGAGTTCATCTATATATGAAAATTGTAAACTCAATTCTTTTTATAGTCAATTAGTAGGTATTAAAATATTTAAAAGTAAAATTATTCATTAAATAAAAAAGACACTAAAATATTCAGAATTCTTTTATGGATTTTAAAAATTTAATTTTTTTCAGGACTTTTAATAGAAATGTCTATCTTTTCCTTGAATATAAATGATCTCAAAATATATGATTATTGTGGTTATAATAGTAATAATCTATATTTCAATTTTCAACTGATATTTTTTATTTTTATGAAAAAAAATTTGAATTACAATATTTTTTAAATTCTATTTTTTTAAAATTGCTAATTTTATTTAAAAAAGTATGTAAGAAGTTAGCTAGTATATATTAATTAACAAACATAAAAATGTTGAAATTAGTTTTCAATTTGGGGTGCTCGGTGAATTTATGTCGATAAATACGTATTTATATCTGTAACGAACAATAATCTAGCGACATGAAAGAAGCAGCAGATTAAGGTGTTGATTTGAATTTAATTAGATTTATCTTATTCTCTTAGCAAATAAAAATCTTGCTCTATTTATATTGTGTGTGGCAGCGATAGGAGACTGTGAATCATAGTCATTTTATGCTCCTCAAAGGCAGAAGATCTCTCTGAAATTAGGTTTCTCCTACTTTAAACGAATCAAACTGACTAATCTAATACACAATGTTGGACATTCCCTGTTGCTAGGCAGACGCTTGCAGGTGCAGGTGTCCTGCATCTAATAACACAAGTTCCAACACTCTTGCGAGTAGACCACAAGGGAAATCTACCTCTCTCTCTCTTTTTTACACCAGTAACAACGAATTAGATTTTTTAACTTACAAAAAAAAAGAATACAATATAGATTAAGTCTCGCGCACGTTAGCGGAATAACGAACAAATTTTTTATATTCATACTGCATTCTTCTTAATCTCTTCTTTTTATATATAGTTATAAAATGTCACTTTTAAATTTCAATTCAAGTTTTTGTAAAATTCATTTATTTTCACATTTTTCTGCAAACACGCGATTCTTATTTTAAAAAAATAAAATAAAAATCTCAAAAACATAAATTATAATACAATATGACGAAATTTATAATTTTTTGACAATTTCTTAATTACTTTCGGGAGTTGATATAAATTTCAGAAAGAATTAATTAAAAATTTTCAAAACTCTAATTTTTTCAAAATTTCTGAATTCAATTATTTAAAACTTCAATAATTTTTGTTAAAAAGAAACATTTAAATGTTTATAGTATCTACTCTCTAAATTTAAATTAGTAAAAATGTTAATACAAATTTAAAGGTATATAGTGACTGACTTTTTGCTTTTGAATTAGTAGATTTTACTAATAAATTAGTAGAAACTACTATTTATTAGTAAATTTTATAAATTCAAAATTTCAAAAGCAAAATGTCAGTCAATCAGTAAAATCTCCTAATAAACAAAAAGTCAGTCTCACTAATTCAAATTGATAAACATTTTTACAAATTCAAAATTAGAGAGTATAATATAAATTTTTAATAATTTCAATTATTCCGTATTTTCTGAAATTCCATTACTTTCAAAAAATATATATTATACATCTGTAAATTCTTCAAAAATTTAACTACTTTCTAGAATATTAGAATATTAGAAATAATTTCAATATTAGAAATATTAAAAAAAATTTTGAGTTGAGTTTAATTATAAAATTATTCCAAAACATCAACAAATTCTTTTTTAAATAAAATATTTAATCATTGTTATTATTCAATAGGAATTAAGATTTTCAAAAAATTTAAAATTATTCAAACTTTTATGAAATTGAACTTATAAGAATATTATTACAAAACATGAAGATTATCGATCACTCCGAGAATGTAAATTTACATAAAATTTTACAAAAAAAATTTATTTATTTATTTATTCAAAAGTTTAACGGGTAAAACCCTTTCGCACAAAGTACAAAGTAATTATTTTCAAAAATTTTTTGCAAGAATTCAATTACATTTCACAATTAATAAAATTCTTCGCTGAAATTCAAATATTTTCAAAATCTACTATTTTTATAAAATTTCTTAAATGAATTCGAGTTTTTTAAAAAAATATAATCAAACGCGTTGCAAGAATTCAATTATTTTCATATATAATACAATTCTTTGCAAAATTTCAATTATTTAAAAAATAAATTAATAAAAATTCGTTGCAAGAATTCAACTATTTTCATAAATAATAAAATCCTTGACAGGACTTCAATTATTTTAAAAAAAATGTAATAAAAATTCTTTACAAGAATTCAATTATTTTTCTAAATAATCAAATTCTTCACAGGCTTTCAATTCTTTTTCATACTATTTTATAGGAATTGTTTAAAAAATGTACTTATTCCTGAAAATTTTGTTAAAATTAGTCGAAAGAAATTATTAAAAAAAGTGTTTTTTTTTTGTAAATTCTTTGAAAGAATTCAATTATTTACAAAAATATTAGAATTTTTCACAGAAATTCAATTATTTTAAAATATTTTTAATAAAATTGTTCGAATGAAATGAATTATTTTCAATATAATTATATTAAATTTTTTTGAAATAATTATTCTTTTATAGATTTTAATAAAATTCTTACCGAGAATTCAATTATTTACATAAATAATTCTTATCGAAAAAATTCAATTGTGTCGATAAAGAACAAAATTATTCCCGAAAATTCAATTATTTTGAGGCATTTTAATATTATAAGATTAATTAATTAAAATCCAATTGTTCTGAATTCAATTTTAAGAAATTTCGGTTATTTGAATTTTTTTAAATTTATATTTAAAAATTTAACTATGTTTTTTCAAAAAATTTTAAATAATATTAAATTGTTCAGAAGTTTTAAATTTAATTATTACTCAGATTTTCTACTATATTTATAGGTACTCTTCCCAAATTCAATTATTATTTTTTAAGTTATGTTTGCAATTTTTTAAATGAAAGTCTTTATTAAATTTAAAATAATAATTAATAATAATTTAATAATTTAAATAATTTTTAAATATAATTTAATACTGATTTTATTCTCAAACATTTAAATATAAATTTTTGGGTAACTTTAAGGTAAAAATAACCCAAAAATAACTATATTTTATTGTTATGTTTCTTCTTAGGTACCTTTCTTCAAAGTCATTTAGATTATATTATTTATTATAGATAATTAAAATATTAAAAACTAAAAAATAAAAAGTGGCATTAGCAGCTTTTTTTTACCTTACAAATAAACTTTTCAATCTTCAAATAATATACTGAAAAATAGTCTTAGTTTGCAATGCTTACACAATGAATTTTGAATAAGCAAAAAACTATTGCAGATGCATTATGAGAAAATAATTGAATCCTGTTAATAAAATAATTCTGTTGGGCATTTTTTGTTAAGCAAACAAAAAGTTGGTTAATTTAAAATTGTTTGAACACTAATGTAATAAATATATGTCTATTAGAAGAGGCTTTCATTTTTACTAATAAAAGTTGAAAAAATAATACAAATTTTTGAGAAATAGATACGTTAAAAAAAAATAATAGTTCTTTTTTTTTTTTCTTTTAATAGTTACGTTTTAACGTGGTTTTGACTTTAGTTCAAACGAATAAAAAGAATATAAAAGACACACCCCACTTTTCAAACTAAAACTCCCGTCCTCAAAGTCTGATTGGTATTACTTTAATTGTCCTCATCCTTGGCCTACCTATTAATTTTGATCTCGATTTTAATTCTTATATAAGAGCATTGAAAATTTGAAATAATTTGATAATTTCCATTATAGAGAAAATTCAGAAATATTGTGAGTGTCACCGAATATGTTCAGTCAACTATCTCTGTGTCTGTATAATCAATTTATCTGCGTCTATTGACAAATTGATTCTATATTGTAACGAGGACAAAATGCGATCGACCAGTCGTAAAAGCAATGCGAACAAAATACATTGATGAATAATTGTCGCTTGATTGAAAATATAAACGAAAATGGTTTTAAGGATTTTAAGCTTTTTTACAAGAGCTGTAGGTGTATAAGGATAAAATTAACAGAGTTAAATTCATTGCCTACGGTTGAGTCCATTGCAAGGGAAAGTACCAGGTAATTTCGGTCGAGGTCGATTTTTCTATCTGCACAACTCATCCAATATTATAAACACGTTTCGTGTGTTACCAACACTACTCGTAACAACTTTTGTGAATCAATTACGTCTACGCAGTTGAATAGCAAATACGATTCTCTCCTACAAGCTTTATTTTATAACTTTTATAATTAAAAGTAGCACACTAAATATAACGGCTATTTTTTGCCTATTTCAAAAATACTTATAAGACAATCACGTGCTTTTTCACTTTTTCAAAACTTTTCATCTTATCCTTATCTTTTATAAACTCAAGAATTTAAAGTTTCTCTAAATTAAAAAAAATTTAAAGTTAATTGAACGTTTAAATATTAATTGTATTCACATAATTTTAATACTTTCATTGTTTTACCAAAAACTTTCAAACCACATTTTTTACTTTTCTTTAGAATCTCAAAAATCACATTTTTTAAAAAAATTCCATGTATTCACTCTCTAAATTTGAATTAGTGAAAATTTCACTATTTGATTCAGTTAATGTAGTTGTCACTGGAAAATAGCGAATTTCACTTCTGAATTAGTGAAAATTTCGCTATTTGATCAGTGAATGTAGTTGTCACTGGAAAATAGTGAATCCCACTTTTGAATTAGTGAAAATTGCGTCTGCGCATAAATCCACTGTCTCTCGTCGTTTAGTTGCGTCTTGTTGACAGTGAAACTCGTGAGTGAATCGTTTAAACCGAGGAAATTGATAATTTGTGAGGAGATTTATAATTAAAGATTACATTTTATTATTCACCGAAAAATATCATAAAATAAGGTAAGTTAACTTTAAACTTATTAGCAACTATATTTGTTTAACTATATATTTATTACTACTAAAGAACTATACCTAACCTCAAATATCTTTTGTTTTGATTGTTCTATTTCTCTCTAAGATTAAATATTCTTTACTTATAAATTGTTTATACAGAAGGAAGGGCTCGATACACGTTTAAAATAATAATTAATTTCTGCAAATATAAATTCAATGACTGAGGAAAATAATTACGAAGACGAGTTAAGAAAGTTTGGCGTTTCGGAAGAAACATTGTCTACTTTGAGAGGTTCGTTTCTTAATAAATATATTTTACTGTGCATGTTTTTTTGTTGAAATGATATATATTATTTAAAATCAATTCAACATGTTATTTCAGATTTTTTGAATGTTTAAATGAAATAATATTATTTTCTTTCTGGATAAATATTTTCAAAAATTAGTATAGTATTGTAATGCAAAAAATGTAAATTAAATATTTACTTATTTAAAAAATTCATTTTTTAATTAACAAAATAATTTTGCATAAAAAATAAAAATTTCTAGTAAATGAGAAAAAAAATTAAGGATCAATAAATAATTTTTTAAATATTTATTTTAGGAGGGGACTAACTTGCCTTATTCAGTCAAGGAATCGGCTTTGAAGTCAAACACGGCTGTTCAGCCATATATTTTGTGCACCAAAGGACAAAATGGGTGCAACACTTATTTTGTCCAAGGAGATGGCTTCTTTCTCAAACCTTCAAACAATGAACCAGTGAATGCTTTCGATTTGTTGTTTAAAGTTTACTTCGCGTTAAATTTATGCTATCCCATTGGTTTACAAAATTTTTTTAATTTTATGGACAGTTATGTCTACGAGGTAAATAATGAACCTCGTGGCATTGTTACATCATTTCACGTAAATTTAACTAATTTAACATTAGACGAAACTACTGAAGGCATGAATCTCTCAGATAATTAGTGCAACACTTGTCATCATTCGTTCGATTATATAATTTTTATTTCTTTGCACTATTTCAGTAATTATATTTCCTATAAATGTAAATTTACAAATAAAATTTGTATTTTTCTTTAAATATATCTTTAATTTTATTTCACTACTACGTGCTTTTCGCTTCAATTTATTTAAAGAAAAATTTTTTTACAAGTTCATTTTAATAAGTTACAAACAATTTTTAATTTTTAAAAAAATATTTTTCTCAAATTCGAAACATCGATAATTTTACTGCAGAGAAATTAAAAATTAAGTTTCTATTAAAAAAGTATTCAATACTTCAGGTAATATTTAAATCATACGATAGATTAATTATTTTTATCAAAAATTTAATTTTTAAATTCAAAATTTCAATAAAAAAATTTTTTTTAAAATTTCGCTACTTAAATCAGTGGAATTTTCACTTATTCAATAAGTGATATTATTTTTCACTGGTTGAATCAGCGAATATTCACTAATTCTCAGTGGTATACTTATCGCTATTTCAAAAAGTGACTATTCGCTGGCAATAAGTGGAATTTCACTAATTCAAATTTAGAGAGCAGACTTCACACACGATAATTAGTTTTAAAAAAGTAGCAAAAAGTAGCTTTTAAATTAAAAATTTAAATATTTATAAAAAGAATTTAATTCTTGCGAAGAATTTTATAAAATTTTTTAAAGAATTGATTTCTTTCGACTAATTTTATGCAAATTCTAATTTAAATAATTGAATTCCTGAGAAATTTTTATTATTCATGAAAAGAATTGAATTCTTACGAAGATTTTTACAAAAAAAATTTTAAATAATTGAATTCTGTTTGAAAATTTTATGAAAATAGTAGATTTTAATAATTGTTGAATTGCGAAAAGTTTTTGAAAATAATTAAATTATACAAAGTATATTTTATTAAAATTTTTGATAATAATAGAATGTCCTGTGTGACATTTTATTAAATTTTTTTTTTTGAAAATAACACAGGACCACAAAATTTTTTTAAAGAAAGTATTGACCGGACTATGTTTTTTACATGTTTTTTGAGTCGCTGAATTCGAATCCGAACTCAGTTTTCCGCCATCACGTCAAGTTTCTTCACAAATTAATAAAATTCGAAAAAAACTGACTGTAAACAAGATTTAAATAAAAATAAGCAGAATATTCTATTAAAAACCAACTTTAAAACACTGAAAAAATATTATATAATGTTAAACAATCAAAGAAACTCGCAAATATTCAAAATTTAAGATGGCTGATCCAATATGGCGTCGATTTTTTTAAAATTCATCCAATTCGCCTGAAACTTGTTACTCGGGGGTTTTTGAGGTTGCTAAATACGAATTTCACCTCAGTTTTCAAAAATTCAAAATGGCGGATCCAATATGGCTGACGTATTTTTAAAAAAATTATCAGATTTATTCGAAACTTGTTACTTGGGGGTTTTCGGGGTCGCTGAATACGAATTTCTCCTTAGTTTTCAAAAATTCAAAATCTAAGAAATTTTTAAATAATTCTTTAGCCATATTGGATCCGACATTTTGGATTTTTTAAAATTAAAGTGAAATTCGTATTCAGCGACCCCGAAAACCCCCAAGTAACAAGTTTCGAATAAATCTGATAATTTTTTTAAAAATACGTCAGCCATATTTGATCCGCCATTTTGAATTTTGAAAAACTAAGGTGAAATTCGTATTCAGCGACTTCAAAAACCCCTGAGTAACAAGTTTCAAGTAAATCTGATACATTTTTAATAAATTCGACAGCCATATTGGATCCGCCATTTTGAAGAAACTTGACGTGATGGCGCAAAACTGAGTTCGGATTCGAATTAAGCGACTCAAAAAACATATAAAAAACATGGTCCGGTCTATACTTTCTTTAAAAAAAATTTTGTGTTCCTGTGTAATTGAATTCCTAAAAAGCATTTTATTATTTTTTGAAAATAATTGAATTCTTATATGAACGATTTTATCAGATTTTTTTTTTAAAATTGAAATTTTAAGAAAAAATTTATTACTCTTAAAAATTAATTGAATTCTTGTGAATAATATTGTTATTTATGAAAATAATTGAATTTTGCAAAGAATTTTATTAAAATGCCTCAAATTAATTGAATTTTTGGGAATAATTTTGTTAGTTATCTTTAATAATTGAATTCTTACGAAGCATTATTTATGCAAATAATTGAATTCTACGAAAGAAATTTATTAAAATATAAAAGAATAATTAAATTATTTCAAAAAAAAATTTAATTAAAATTGTATTTAAAATAATTGAATTCTTTCGAACAATTTTATTAAAATATTTGAAAATAATTGAATTCTTGTGAAAAATTCTAATATTTTTCTGAATAATTGAATTCTTCCAAAGAATTTAAAAAAACATTTTTTTAAATAATTAATTTTTTCGAGGAATTGAAATTGAATTTTTAAGAATTAATTAATTTACATTTTTTGAGCAATTCGTGTAAAATTGTATTAAAAATATTTGAAATCCTGCTATGAATTTTTTTTATTTATGAAAATAATTGAATAATTGCTAAGAATTTTATTAAAATTTTAAAAAATAATTGAATTCCTGAGAAGAATTTTATTAGGTATTTATAAAAATAATTGAATGTTTGATGAATTTTATCAGTTTTTGTTAAATAATTGAATTTCGGATGAATGTTATAAATTTTTTTTAAATAATTGAAACCTTTTGCGAAATTTTATGAAAATACTAGATATTAAAAATAATTGAATTTCGAATATTTTTTTGAAAATAATTGAATCGGTCTAAAGAATTTGATTATCATTTTTTGAGAATAGTTTTTTGATTTCTGGTATTAGCGATTTTAAAGTAGGGGAAATGAAAGCTTCTAGTGGCTGAAATCTAAAAAAAGTACGCAAATAGTATCAGAACGTAAAAAAAGTACCTAGTAAATGGTAGGTTTTAGGATTTTAGTATTTTTTTTACTAAATATTAGGAATTTTGAAAAAAGTAATTTTTTGTGTTCTTTTAAGAATTGAATTGTATTGTCAAAACATAAAAATGCAAATTATAACATTATTCATGAAATAAAAATTTTCAAAAGGAAGTAAAGTATTTATGTAATGAAGACAAAAATTTTAACTGTTTCTTTCCTTTAATTTTGTTATTGAATAAAATGTTTAAAAATTTTAATGAAATTTTGCAAATGAATGAAAATGGATATTAATTTTCCGTAAACTGGAAAAAATTGTGCTTATAAGAGAAAGAGAAAGAAAGGTCTTGGATTTTTAAAATCAAGTTTGTCTCTAATCAAGACCTTTATCATGAAATTAAGCTTGAAGGAGTGAAAAGTAAAGAAAAAAATAAAAAAATAGAAAGAACGAATTGCGACTTTCTCTCTGCCAAATAGAAAGCATTATTCTTACTTTAGGTATTATATATAACTATAAATTTTAATTAAGTAATTCCCAACAACAAAGCACTTTTCTCAAGCATTCCCTTCTATTTAGCTTCCCTAACCAACGACACTTTACTTTGCTTTTTCGACCCATTGTATTTTCTCTTTTTGTTTATTGTCGCCATCTTCATCTTGCGGTTTCATTTCAAAACTCAGTCTAAAATAATACAACCTCTTCTTTGCATAATTTTTATTATTTTAAAAAATAAAAAATAATATTATTTATAAAATCAAGGTTTATTATCATTTTTCACACAATTAAAAGTGTACAAGATGTATAGTGATGATATATAATCCAAAAAGATAATAAAAGTTGATGGAAACCTCTTCGGTTATTCTCTATACTATGGGAAATAAATATTTTTTGAAAACTCACCGTGTAGCTGTGCGAGGGACTGTAGCGTGTTGGAATTGCAATTTATGAATCCTGAAACAAAAATCACATTGCTTAGAATCGGTTGCGTGCCATGCCATCGGGAAACTATCTATATATACATAAATACATATACACGAAGAGTTTGTTCTCTTATCTTTTCCTTAAAACTTTTGTGAGCTTTGTGTACTTTTTTTCTTTCTTCAAATAAAAATGAATGATTAATAGACTAAATGATCGATTTACTTCTAGGAACAATGCGCTCCAGAAAGAATAAAAACTAGCATCATCAGACAATTTTCAAGAAAAAAGAAGTAAAAGTTTCGTTTTTTTTAATATAGAAGCATAAAAAAAAGAAATAAATCATATTTCCTAATTTTAGAAAAAAATTAAAATAAACTATATTAATTTATTAATTTAAGTAATTTTTAGGACAATATTTTTTTATTTTTTTTATTAATTTATGCATTAGCAGGGCTCGAAGTAAGTCCGTAAATCCTGAAAAATTCGGTAATAAAATTCTTCGCGAAAATTCAATTATATTTAAAATTTTTTTTTAAATTCTCGTCAAAATTTCAATTTTCTTTAGAAATATTAAAATTCTTCTCTGAAATTCAATTATTTTCAAAAAATAAAAAAAAAACATTGTCAACATTTCAATTAACTTTATAAATAAATAGCAAAATTCTTCGACAAAATTCAATTATTTTCAAAAATTTTATTAAAATTCATTAAAAAATTCAATTATTTTATAAAGTAATAAAATTAAATTATTTTCAAAAATTTTAATAAAATCCATTGCAAAATTTCAATTATTTTCAAAAGTAATTAATTTATTCTTTGCAAAAATTAAATATTGTTCATTATCTACTATTTTCATAAAATTTACCAAAAGAATTTAATTATTTAAAAAAAAAAATTAATAAAATTCTACAAAAACTTTTAACTATTGTCAAAAAATAGTAAAAATTTCACAAGAATTTCATTAATAACAAATTTTTTTTATAAATTTCTTCGCAATCATTCAACTATTTTTATAAATAATAAAATTTTTACGGGGATTAAATTATTTTCGTAAACATAATAAAATTCTTTTCAGGAATTCAATTATTTTCAATAGAATTTTAATTGAATTCCTCGAAAAAATTCTTAAAAATTTTCTTAAAATTCGTCCAAAGAATTTAATTATTTAAAAATTTGTTGATAACATTTTTAATAGAAATTGAATTCCAAGAAACATTGAATTATTCAATATATTATTTGTTCTTGTATTTAAATAATTGAATTCTGGTAGAATTTTCTCATAAACATTGATTTAAAAATAGATTTCAGTTAAAATCTTAGATTATAATAATTGAATTTTTTCGAAGAATTTCATTAAAATTTTAAAAATAATTGAATTTTATCGAGACATTTTTTTAAATTGTCTTAAAAATAATTGAATTTCTACAAAAAAAAGTTTTATCAAAACTTTTTAAAATGTTTGAATTTCTGCTAAAATTTTGATATTTTTGAAAATAATTAAATTACTGTTAATTTTTTACAAGAATTTCATTAAAATTTTAAAAATAATTGAATTTTATCGAGACATTTTTTAAAAATTTTTTTAAAAATAATTGAATTTCTACCAAAAAAAGTTTTATCAAAACTTTTTAAAATGTTTGAATTTCTGCTAAAATTCTGATATTTTTGATAATAATTGAATTCCTGTTAAGTTTTTACAAGAATTTAATTATTCTCGAAAATTTTAATAAAATTCTTCGTAAGAATTCAATTATTTTCATAAATAATAAAATCCAATGCAGAATTTCAATTATTTTCAATACAATTTTAATCGAATTTCTCGAAAAATGTAATTATTCTTTAAAATTTTATTAAAATTCGTTGATAGAATTCAATTATTTGAAAATTTGTTGATAACGATTTTTTATGGGAATTGAATTTTAACAAACGTTAAATTATTCAATAAATTATTTATTTGCATTTTCACATTTAAATTTGTATTTAAATAATTGAATTCTAGTAGAATTTTCTAATAAAAATTGATTTTCATTTCATAAAAATGAATTTCAGTTAAAATTTTAGATAATAATTGAATATTAAATGCAATAGAGCGTGAATTTAAAAAAATAATTGAATTTTGTAATTAATTTCTTTGAAAAAGTTTAATTGGTTTTTTTAATATTATTTTTAGTTTCTATTTTCTAATATTTATTTAATTAAAGAATTTACAAAGAATTAAAATTTCGTAAAATTGAATATTGCCTAAAGAAATGAATTTGAAAATTGTCAAAGAATTATTTCGAAAATTATTAAAAATAATCGATATTTATAAAGAAGAATTTTAGATAAAACTTCTTAAAAATAATAATTGAATTGATAATGATTTTAATTATTATAAATTATTTTTATTAATTTTTATTAATAATTATTATTAATTATTATAAAACATGAAGAAAGCGATGACTTCGAGTCGAAGACTCGGAGTTATCGATTTCTTCATGTTTTATAGAATTATGAAAAATTGAATTTCTAGTTTTAAGTAAAATGTTTTCTTATTTGATTCGGCCTGATTCTATTTTTGTCAGTTGGTCCGTAAATGGCCTGTAATTTTTAATTTTTGTTTTTTTTTTAATTTTTTAATTTTTCTTTTTAAATACTTTCACTGCTTTGAGTGCTGCATTAGGCATATAATTAATTAAAAATAATTATCCATAATAAGTAAAATCAAACTTTTGTCAAACCAATAAAATTTTTGATTCGGTATCATAACCGACTATCAATCATAGGTAATAAGTGTAATTATTGCTTTGATATAGAATTATTTTGTAATATTTTTATCCAAGTCTAATTTAATAAACCGTATAGTTAAAAAAACGATCACATAATTTGAAAAGACGAATGTATAACAGTATCGTCGTTCATTGTTTATTATTTGTTATCCGCGCAGGAATGGCGAAAAAAATACAATGTAGTTACATTGAAAAAATGCAGCAGTGCGTGAAAATGATTATGTTTTCCGTGAGCTACAAAGTTTAACAAAACAAGAGAGATAAAGATTCTGATGCATTCGAGGAAGAAATTTATCCATGATGCAAGAACAATTTTATTACGTAATATTTAACATTGTTTTCGATATTTCATAAATATATTATGCATTCGTTAAACAAATAAATATAGGAACGAGCGTTAACAAGCGGCGCACTGCGAAAGCTCGCATTGAAAACTGATTGATTCCCGAAGCGAGAATGCACATACATACAATGAATACGCGCAATGCAGACACAAATAAATTAGATAAAACTTGTGTATATTTATCTATTTTCAATATATTTACAAATATATATATATATATATATATATCATTGTAAAAGGATTTTGTCAACGCTGATTTCTGGAATTTAGATTCTATAGAATTTCACTAGAATCATTCTATATGAAATCTATAGTGAATGTTTCTACAGAATTTTACTAGAATGATCCTGTAGAATTTCTACAGGAATTCTAGTAAATTTTAGCAAAGTTTAATTAGAAAAAATTTAAATTCCTGAAATTATTTTTTTTCAACTTTATAATAATAATAATAAATGAAAGGAAAATTATTAAAAAAAAAAAAAAAAATTTTAAATTTTAAAAAATTTAAATTCAAATTTTTGAATTTATATAATTCATTAAATTTAGTAACCAGACAATAATATAATGTTAAAAAAATTATTTCACGAAATTTATATTCTTTCTAATTAAAAATCAATTAAAATTTAGTAGAATTCATGTAGAAATTCTATTGTACTATTCTACTATTGTACTATTCTACTATTCTACTATTCTACTAAAACCTACTATTTACTACTTTTTTTACGTTATGCTACTAATTGGGTACTTTTTTCGATTTTAGCAACTAAAAAGCTACTATTTCTGTTTTTTTTTTTGAGATTTTCTACTACTTTAAATTCGCTAATACTAAAAATCAAAAAAACTATTCTCAAAATTTATAATAAAATTCTTTAAAACGATTTAATTATTTTCAAAAAATATTCGAAAATTCAATTATTTTCAAAATCTAGTATTTTCATAAAATGTCGCAAAAGAATTCAATTATTTAAAAAAAACTTGATAAAATTCATCTAAAATTCAATTATTTTTATAAATAATAAAATTTCCACAAGAATTCAATTAATTTAGAATAGCATTTTCAAAAAAATTTCGAAAAAACAAATTATTTAACAAAATTTGTATGCAATTTTTCACAATAATTCAATTACTTTCACTAATGATAACATTTTTCATAAAAATTAAATTTTTTAAAAAAATTTTTGATAAAATTCTATGCAAGAATTCAATTATTTTCATAAATAATAAAACTCATCAAATAATTTCAATTCTTTTTAATACTATTATAAATTAATTAATAGAAAAATTCAATTAATTTCACAAATAAAATTTTTCACAAGAATTCAATTATTTAAAATGAAATTTTCATAATATTTATTATATTTCGAAAAAAATAATTATTTTCAAAAATAACAAAATTTTTCAAAGAAATTCCATTCTTTTTACACGCATTTTAATAAAATTTTTCGCATTAATTCAATTATTTTCATAAATAATAAAATTCTTTTCAGGAATTCAATTATTTAAAACAATTGTAATAATATTCGTTATAAAAATTCAATTATTTTCATAAATAATAAAATTCATCGCAAGATTTCAATTACTTTCAATTCAATTTTACAAGAATTGCTCAAAAATGTAATTATTCTTAAAAATTTAATTTCAATTAATACTAAAACAAAAATTTTTTATAATAATAAAATTCATCGCAAGATTTCAATTACTTTCAATTCAATTTTACAAGAATTGCTCAAAAATGGAATTATTCTTAAAAATTTAATTTCAATTCAATTAATACTAAAACAAAATTTTTTTTAAAATTCTTTGAAAGAATTCAATTATTTTCATAAATAATAAAACTCATCGAAGAATTTCAATTATTTTTAAAAGTAATAAATTTCTTCTTGTAAATTGAATTATTTTTAAAAATTCTAATAAATTCG